TCGCCCTGTGGATGGATTGCAGTTGAATGCAGTAGATCGCCATGCCGAAGCAAGCCTGCATGCTTGAAGCCGCTGTGACTGTCATCACCTCCAAAGCGCGCCGATTTTGTTCCTCATGCGTTCTTGAGGAATAGAATCAACTGTATCTGAGCAGATACAAAGGTAAACAGAGGACTGCAGCCATTACTGGTATTACTACTGTTACAAACATTATCGTTACTTGCAACCTCTACTGTGATTGCTATTGGCATTTCTATCACTTTAATTATGATTTTACTAATACTATTTGCTTTTGCTGTTCTTGCTGCTGGTTTTGGTATTGCTATTATTGCTGGCAGTATTACCACCATTTAATGTTCTACAATGTTTATTACTGTCCATGTCACTTATACAATGAAACAGCATGGTTTTGAGACAATCGAATAGCTACAATCGCAATCCAAACTTCAATCGAGCAAGCAGAATGCCCAGCAACGTGGATGCAGTCGATGTCCAGTGATAGTCACACCACGGTGAATAGCATCATCCCATTCTGCATCATACGGGATGACGATCCCAGTCGTCTGGGGTTCATAGACGGCAAGGGGTTGCTTCCAATCCCTGGACAGATCTTATTGCCATAGTTGGTTGGCCATGGTTAGCTGATCGAATCGCCGCACGCTTACATGAGCGACTAGCAGCAGATGTGCGGCATCACATGCAGCAAGTGTTGTCTATGTGTGCCCAGAGTCAGCACTGCACCATAGCACAACACATTGCAACACAGGGCAGGTACAAAACCACATGGTGCTACAGTTGGCATGTAAGGTGCATTTGTCCATCATCAGAAACTGCTGTCACTCGTTAAGCAAGTGCCAGCAATGTGCATCGCGGGTGTGTGTGTCATGCACTTGCATGCATGATACGATCATGCGCGTGCCATACAACATATGTACATCTGTGTAAAACAGCATAATTGTGGGGTGGAGAGTGTAGATTGCAGCAGAAACTGTGAATGCACTTGTGTACAGGTAGTGCAACTATACACACACACACACTTGGCCCATGGCCAGTTGGGGCGATTTTTCTGGGTTGTTAGAGGATGCCCCTCTGTTGAGGAGAGCAGATGAGACTGATGTGGTCAGTGAGCTTTGTTTCCATTGGTCTGGCGGAATTTCGAGTTGGCTGTGGGCTGGCTGCATTTTCTTTCCTTTGGTTTTGTTCCTCATTGTTTGGGTCAGAGACTGCGACAGGGAGGCTGCGCACGCACAGCAGAATCACTTCTTTTCTTTCTTGCTTTTTTTAATATGGTGCATCTGGGCCCAGGGCAGGCGCTGAATCCTTGGGACCTGGTGTTGCCCGCTTGTTGGATGGCTATGTTTGTTGGTTCTGAGGGATCCCTGGCCCCACAGTGGGCTCTGACGATTGGACATGGACATTATTGCGTTGCTTGCAAGCGCCAGCGACATGACATTCAGTTGTCGATTTCACTGTATTGGACAACCACAACACTTTGAGCTTTGTGGACGCCATGCAATTGAGGAAATAATAATAATAACAGCAACAACAACACATGCACACTACACTTGGGTGTAGTATGTGTGCATCACGCCACCCACAGATTCCCATGGCAAGTCCACTGATAGCATCGAATATCCATAATATTGGTACCCACCTTACCTTTCTGTCCCGACCACCACTGGCAACCATTGGACGCTCAGAGCTGATGCCAAGGGCATACTCGGCATTTTCTTGATGGCCCTCAAGGATCAAGTCGGGTACAGATGCATGAGATCTCTGAATGGCAGGAGCAGTCACCACAGGAAGCCTGTGAGAGTTGTTACATCCTGCGTGAAGGTTCTAGGAGGTTCAAGAGGCGGACAATGCACTCTTCACCAACAATTGCAATTACCTCTGAAACAAGGTCTACCCCAAGCAACCACACAAAAGGTGATATACCGCAGCTGAATGCACAATACTCCTTGCAATCCATGTGGGACAACATAAAAGTCAACCAGAGTGTCCTTAAAAAGTCAAAATATATAGAGCCAAACACAAAATGTGTCAAACAGGCATGCCTTGCTCCTTCAGGTTTGAGTTCCATGCAGGGGCAGACGCATCGCAACGATTTTTTTAATTGCATTCACATGGCTTATGAACTGAATGCTCATGTGTACAAATTTTAACGTTGTTGATCACACCAAACAGCATGGCCTTGCACGTGCCAGGGAGATCGCACACATGCAAGGTTGGCAAGTCTTCCAGTCTGCCTATACAGTTTTTACATTTTGACTTGTCAGTTTTCCTTCTTGCCTGAAATTTCGGGTTCGTGTTCCTGGATAAAACCATATTTTCATCACATATCTACAGACAATCACATGATTCCCCAGATCGTGCATTTTGCCTGGGCAATCTCAATCAGAGGATTCAGAGGGTTAGTTAATCTTGATTGAAAGATCATTTTCAAGTCATCAAAGGTGCAAGGCCTACTATTCTGTCTCATTTGGGCAATCTCAATCAGAGGATTCAGAGGGTTACTCAATCTTGATTGAAAGATCATTTTCAATTCATGAAAGGACAAAGACGACTGTGTCTACAGGCTTGCCTTACCCTGTCTGCTGGACCACTCCTGACTGGCTGCTTGTCAACATTCCAGACAAACAGCTCTGGTGCATCTGTGTGAGTCACAATAAGGTCAGGGTGTTGGGGAACGTCTCGCAGCTTGTTCACCTGCACGAACCACATTTTTGTGATCAACTGTACTGGGAATGCGAGGCAATCAATAGCCTGTGACAATGCCTTTTGGCCATGTTTTGCTACATTATGCATCAATGCGAATTGACAATGGAGGACAAAAGAATGGATGACAGCTTCTGGCAACCTGATGTCCCAGCACATGGATGATATTGCATGACATGGTGGAAAGGCTGTGCTTGGTGATCAAATTTGATTCTTCAAGTTGCAGTCAACTTCTTGGGCACCCATTGAAACATTTGCCATGAATGTCCTCCTTCAACAGATCTCAAGGACAACCATGTTGCAATTCTAACTTCGAGGTTTGGAGACAAACTTGTAGGGATGCAACCCTGCCTTTCCCAGCCCACTGATCATCAAATCACCATGGTGTTCCCAATACACAGTACTGACCTCCCCTGGATGAATGATCGCCTTCTGGACCTTGATGTATGGACACCTGTGCAGTTCGTTCCAGTTGGTGATTGCATCTGCTGATGCGACCCGTGCCTGCAGAAAACACAAATTGATTGTGTATTGTAGTCAGTTATACTGAATCCAACAACTGACTCTCACATAGCCAGATTGATGCATGTGGCCTTAGCTGTACCAAAACTTGCATCCCTTTTCTCTATTTCCAAAATACCGCATAATATATAAGATTCCAGGTGCTGCTCCAATCCAGAGATGTGGACCTTGAGCCCCCTCACAACAAGTGTGTGGCGACGCGAAGCCCAAAAGATTGATCTCAAGCAAATGAAAGCACGAACTCAAAGAAATGAACTTCGGCGCCCCGGGGCGTCTCTCGCCGCACCCCTTCTTCGCAGAGGCACACGCCGCGGGGCGTCCGAGGCAGGTCTGAAGACCCACCGGGAGTCCCACGGCACGAATTGTAAACCACGAAGCAAGCGAGGAAAATACACGTCGCACCAATCTACCATCTCTTGCGGTCGCTCGCGCCACGCAACATACATAAATGAACTGGCGCGCCCCGGAGGCCCCACGGGCTTCCACACCTTGCAGACTTCCGCCGTCGCCACCGTAATCTTCTGTGGGTCGGTGCCGTCCGTCTGTCGCACCCCAGGGAACCGTCGTGAGGTCGCGGGCGCCGGCCCTCGAGCGCCCAAACCAACCGGACGCGCTCCGGGTGATCAGAACGCGACTCAGCTCAGCGCCAACCGCCCACAATACGGCCGGCGGCAGCAGGACGGATGTCACAGACGGACGATGATGGCGCCCGTTGATTGCGACATTGCCAGTTTCAGGGAGTCCCGGACGTCCCCGCTCGTCGCTGGGCCACCTAACGCTGGAATTCAGGTCGGCTCTCGGAAGCCGTCCGACTGCAGATCCCGCGAGCCACACGCCAGCTTCAACGGACGCGCGGGCCGCCCTCCATGGACAACACGATCCCGCGGTCCTTGCCGGCCTCCCGGTTCTGCAGGCCGGCCACGTCATGGACCTCGTCCGAGCGCGGTGCACCCACCTGCTCTGAGAAATAGATGCGGTACTTCCGCTTGTAGGTCTGCTCGTCCAGCTTCGGGCCCCACCTGCACAATTCCAGGACCGCGCAGCCAGCGCGCTCACCGCCGCTCAAATGCCTCCCGAAATGCCGATACAAACAACAGCAAAGGCGGCTCCGCAATCAGCAATGCACAGCGCGCTGTTTTGTCGCACGCGCCCCCGATCCCCCCCCCCGACGCCTTGCCTGCATGTCAGCGACGGCCAAGTCAGGTTGTGGTTAGCGAACCAGTCGTACAGGAGCGGCACGACCGCCTTCCACTTCTTGAAGCTGTCCGAGTCGGAGGCCATCTTGGCGCCCGGGATGCGGGGGGCTGGCTTGGGGGCTTCCGCTCCCGCGCGGGCGCTCGCGGCCTGCCCGTCGGCGGAGGTCATGCGCCCCCTGCCCCGGCTTCCGCCTGCACGTCGGAAATGCGAGCGGAAGGATGAGGTGGGGAGGCCAAATTTGGATTTGTAACGGAAAAACAATACAAGTCACGGCGCTGCGCTCACGGAACGCCCACGACTTTGCGAAATGCGCAAAATCGTGGCCGCGGCGTTGGTGCCGCCTTCGCCTGTGCTCGGCCACGCTTCTGATCCAGCTGGTGCGTCTGCTGGCGCTTCCGAGGAACGCGCTGGTGTTGTGCACGCTGGGAGGAGACAAAGACACGCGGTCCTGCTGTTTTCCTTCAATGCCTTTGCTCCGCGTCGTCCGCGGGCGTCCATCTCTCTCGCCGAAGGCAGCTCAGCCGTGGGTGTTTGGGGCATAGCGTTTGCCGGGACGTTCGGCCCCACTTCCGCTGTGAAAGAATTTGCCATGCCACATGGAATGTGCCACTTGCCATCCCCCCGTTGACCCATGCCATCACATCCATGTCCGCCAAATCGGCCATCGTGCTGCACCGCAGGCGAAATCAGGCAGACAGCAGGTGACTCTTCCACCCCACAAATGCCGGGCGCATGTCGACGATGAGCAAATGTTCTGCAGGAGGCCCCACGGCCTTGACACATGCCGCCGCGGCTGTTGCCGCACGCTCGCCTCGGCGTGTGCGCACTTCCTGATTGATTCGTCCATTCCGTGTCTGCTGGGCGTAAGGCCAATTAGGCGGCTGGGCCACCTGCTTCCTTGCCCCTGGCCGGGTGCTTTGGTACAGCAGCGGGACACCCCATCCAGAGGCACCGGTTCGATCCCAGGTCTGACGCCCCCTCCGCAATGCGCACTTCATCAATGTGCCCCCAAAGGTCGACGTGTCACGTGATGGCGTCAATTTGCGTGACTAATTGTCCCATTGCCCAACCGTGAGGGTGGGCGGCCTCTTAACGGACATGGCCCCGGGGTGCTCAAATCATTTCTGTTGGCGCCGCAATCCCTGTGGGGGACCCCTGTTTGCAATTCCCCAATTTGCATGCTCGGGATTTGCGCCGGCAGGGGCGCCCGGCCCGCACCGATCACCGCCCGCCAGCCCCGCCTGTGGCTCCCCGGGGCCAGGCGGGAGCCCTGAGGGAACAGGGGGCAGCACAACAAGGTAGGGCAGCGCACAACGGGCCCGACAAGCCCGCCACCGCGCACAATAACTACTGCACTGTGAACTCGTTGCGCCCTGGCCGAGCAAGGCGCGGAGGGGGCAAGGGGGGCTGCCCGAAGCATGCCGGTAATCATTACGGGAGTGTTGGGCCCAGAGGGGGCCCAATCTTGTGCGTTGGGTGGGATGGGGATTGTAACGTGCGGCGTTGGGTTGGGACCGGTTGCCGCAGGAAGTCACGGGAGGGTCACGGCGGGGGGCAGGCCACCCGGCTGTGGCCTCCTGCCGCGGCTTGACCATTCGCGCATTCCTGCCGGCGAGCGGGTGGCGACGCGCGGCCGTGAATGCGCCGGGACCTCGGTTTGCGGGCGCTGGCCCTGCCTCGGGCTGCTCGAATTGACTGGTGCTCGGGCGAACTGGACAGGGGGCGCGCGGCGTGCTGCCCTTCGGCGGGGATGGCGGGCAAGAGGCGGCGGGATGCGGAGGCCGCCCAGGTTCCGGCGGCGAAGGGCGTGCCCGGCGTGGGGGAGGAGGAGCGCAGGGCGTTCGAGGCCGCGTATGAGACCTTCCGCAGGAGCAGGGGTGAGGGGGAGCGCGCCGCTGGGCCAATGTTATGTTCTGGGTTTGGGGCGACGAGGCAATTGTCTGGATTGTTTGGAATGTGGGTGCGCTCTCATGGGGCGGGACTGGCCACATGAGGCGGTGGAAATAACAGCCGCTTTGCGGGTGCGGGAGCCGGCTGAGTCGGGCTGGCTGCTGTGGGAGCCGCGTCGGGCGCAGACTCGCTCGTTGGGGCGAGCGTTAGCTCGCAGCTGTGTCGGACTGCGGGACTGTGTTTTGAGGCCGAAGGGGTCGACACCGGCTGCAATTCGGGCTGTTGTGGCCTATGGACCACCCTCACATGAAGCGCGGCGCGTGTAGTCACTGGGAAGGGTCCACGGCAAATACGGTAGTGGCAGCCTGTCCAGGTGCCTTGTGTAGGAGAACGTTTTTTCTGTCCTGGTGTAGTTTGAGGGCTCCACCACGGTTTTTGGTTTTGTTTCAAGGGCCGTGCCCTAACTCCTCGGAAAAGGAAGTGCTCTCCACCTGCCAACTGCAGTGGGGAAAACTCGAGCACAACAAAGCATGCTTGTGCTCTGTCGGTAGTTTTGTGTGGCACGGTCTTGGGTGTGCTGTGGTTGGTGTAGGGAGCAATGGTGCCTACCTGCGCCGTTGATCTGCGCAGGTACATCTGATGACTTGCTTTATGAGGGACGTCTACAGTGCGGAAAAGTGCCAGGAAGTGTCTATATTGTTTCAACTTGGGGGACTGTCAGGATGGCAAAAGAAGCTCACGGCCTCTTGCCTTGAGAATGGATTTGCGGTTTGCCAAGCACGAGTCGTGTCTTCCTTTTGGCTGCAGGGGAGCCGGTAAAGAGTTTTGCACAGCAAGGAGCGCACGTGTTCATGCTGTGCAGCCTCTATTACGAGGTCAAAGGGGCTGGCGGATACGATGCTGTGGGATCAAAGTCGCTGTGGGGGCAAATCGCCGCCAAGCTGCTGAGAGTGTCAAAGCGACAGACAACAGCTGCCAAGGCGACCCAAGCCTGTTATGAAGCTTGGTTGCTGCCATTCGAACCTCATGCATCAAAATACCTATACCAGGTGGGTGCTCTTTATGGGTGGAGACCCTGGACTGTTCCGGCCAGTCCGTCATTGCCTTGAGGCCAGTGCTACTAATGTTTGACTAAAAGCGCTGAGCGAGCATCAACATCCTGTTGATGCTGTTCTTGTTTGTGCCACTTTTTGCAACCACATTTTTGGCACCCGTGCAGTCTTACCTTCTTTCACCATCAGGAAGTTTTGGCCGTGCGACTGTGCTGCTCTGTGTGTCCCCGTCGATGACTCGCCTGATTGCAATCACCCCGCTGCATCCCGCCCCGGCTTGCCCCAAAATGCCGTGCATTCTGCCAGCAGCCGGGTCTCTCACCACCAGGTTTGCTCACGCTCATGCTGGTGCCTGTCCTACTGCCATCCTGTTGCTCATCCTGTTGGCCATTCTGTTGTTTCAGGCCCAAGATCATGGCGTCTCCCCGCCGGCACCCGCCCCCACCCCGCTCCCCAGCGACCCTAGCGCCCACTCCACGTGCGCCTGGGGGGACCCTACCGCCCGCTGGCGCTCCATGCGCACTTGCCCCACCTGGGCCGCCGGGCCCACGCCCCCCCACCCCCTTGCCCGCTGCTCCCCGCCCATCATCAACTCCCAGGAGTCCACCGCCGCCGCCTCCACCTCGATGCTCTCGGCATGCGCCCAGCAGCTTGCCCGCCAGGCCATGGGCGGGATTCCCATCAACGCGGCGCTCAGAGATCACAGATGGGAGGTCAGAGATCAGGCACCGGCGCCGGGGTGCAACGGCGCTGTGTCCAGTTCTCAGCAGGCGGCGTCCGCAGCGCCCACCCGGGCGCCGTCGGCGGGATCGTCGCAGCTCAGCCTGCCCAGTGACCTGGGCTGGACGCGGCTGATCCCCGTGCTCAGCCCGCCCACCTGCCCCGCGCGCGGCTTCCTCCTCGAGGGCCCGGCCGCCCTGCCCTCCGCCGCGCCCCTGCCGCAGGTCGCGCCCAGATCGATGCCATCCAGGGGTTGGAACGGCGGGCCGGATCGCGCCATCGTGACCTCACTCGATTATGCGACGCGAGATCAAGCCGTGGTGGCCTCGCGGGATGCCGCGATGCCCACGGCAGGGCGACCCAGGGGTAGGGGGAGGGGCAGGGGGCGCAGGGGTGGGCCCAGGGGCCCGGGCAGGCCGCGGGGGAGGGGCAGGAGTCCAGGGAGGGGCAGGGGGCGGGGCCCGGGGAGGCCCCCCAGGCGGGGATTCGGTTTGATGCCCCGCGGCACGCGGTTTGGAGGGATGCGCAGCGGGGCCGGACGCGGTTCCAGGGCGGCGGAGGGCGCGAGGCTCGTGGGGTGCCTGCTGAGCCCCTACCTGACAAGCGGCCTCCCCACCGCGCAGCAGATGGCGCCGCTGCCCGCGGGCCCGGTGGACGTGCCGGACCCGGTGCCAGGTGAGGCGGGGGGGCTTGGGCGCGGTTTTTTTTCTTTTTCTTGGTCCGAATTGGCACTTTATGTCCGAATTAAATATCAAATGACCGGCTCGAAACGCCAAAAGGGGACCCTGATTCGGGCAGCTTGTCCTGGAGGAAACGCTGAAACGTGCCCTAATTCGGACATTGTCTGGCATGAACAAGCAGGAACCCACTGACCGCCTACGGGGCTGCGCGGTTCCGGGGAACAGCCCGGCGGGTGGCCGGAGGGCGTTCCCTGGGGCCCGTCTGGCAAGAAAACCGCAGACTGGTCCCAATTCCGACACGTGACAGCGGGGATTTGATACGGCTCTGGGGATATGGTCGTCGGCGCGGCGTTTTTGACGTCTTTCGCTGGGGAGGCGGAGAGGCGCGCAGAGAACCGTGCCACGAGGTGGCGGCGTGTAGGACGCTGCGCCAAGCGCTTCCACTTTGCGCAGACCAAACGCCCCCCTTGTGCACGTTCACTGCGCCATCTGCTCGGACATCTGCAGGCCCATCGTCCGCCTCCCGCCGACGCCGCGAAGGTGGCGAGAACCTGTTCAAAACCAATGCGCCTGGTGGCTTTTGCCGCATTTCAGCGTTTTGTTTTAGTGTTTGGTGTTTTTAAAGTGTCTCGGATGGAAGGGGCTGAAGGCGGCGCTCTGTGCAGGAGACCCCGTGCGGAGCATGGTGGCCTGGGTGCGGCAGCTGGCCCAGGACGTCGGCAGCCCCGAGGCCCTCGCATCCGGCGCACACGACGCCTTGCACGTGCGCTACGGCGGCGACCTGCTGCGCGCCAGGCGCCGCGGCGTCACGGCGTCCCTGCGGGATCTGCGTGAGCAAAGGGCGCAGCGGTCCCGAGAATCCACCGAGGACCGATCGGAGAAGGGCAGGCCCAGGTTCAGGACGAGTTATGCGAGGTTTTTCGTGGAGGATTCGAGGATGACGGGGTCCTGCTCGGAGGGCGAGGGGGAGGAGGCGGCGGGGGAGGGGCAGGCAGAGCCCAGGATACGGGAGGGGGTGGAGTACCAGGCGGAGATTCCCACCTGGAGGCCGCGGGCCCCCGGGGGCCCCGCCCAAGGGGAGGCCAAGTGGTTCACTGCCCCTGTGTGGCCGCAGCCCGTGGCACCCGCTGACGAGAACAGGTGGGAGGGTGGCGGGGGCGGCCATGTGTTGTGGGGGGTGCGTTTGGGGATGCGTTTGCCAAGTTGGCCTTGCGTGGTGGAGCGGCGGTCTTGGGGCGCAAGGGTGGCGATGGGTGCATGTGCTTCCAGACGTTTGTTGTGCCGCCGTGTGGCGGGGCCATGGCCAGTTCCCATTGTGCCAACTTGCAGAGGCGTTGGGAAAGCTGGCAAGCAATGGGCCTGTGTTCATGAACCCCTGTGTGGGCATTGATTGGGATTGGACATGTTTGCCTGAGCCAGTGGTTGCTCCCCAACGATGTGGCGGCGTCAGACTGCTTGGTGAGCATCTCCACCTCCAGTTTGTTGGTTTGGGAACAACCGACCATATTCGGTTGGTAGGTGCCATTCATGGACATCCAGATGTAGGGTAGTTGTTTTGGCCTTGAAATGTCGATGTGATCAAAAGGAATTGATGTGTAATTGACCTCATTCATGCATGATTGTTTGTTCAGAACTGTGGTGCTGTGCTTATGGGCAAAAGTTGTAGCATAGTAGACATACTGCCTCATAGCTGCATTTCTGCTCAGCGATTGAGCACCCCATGTTGCATTCTGTGATCAGGATCAACGGAAGGCCTTTGCCACGCCCAACAAACTTTTTGGAAGATCTGCAAGCAAGACAGCAGTGGGTTGATGAATCATCGATGGCTTTGGAGGAGCAGCTGGGATCAGCTGCAAAGGTGTGAATTGGCACCAGTGGCCACATCACAAGCCACCCACCAGGATTGTCTGTGTTCATCAATTTGCACTTGTTTTGAGACTCCAGTGCTATGCTCTGCACCTTCCTTTGTTGTAGCCCAGCGCCTCACATACGTATTCTACCTGTGTCTGCAGGTGCTTGGACTGCAGTGTATGGGCTCCCGGGTAAGGAGGACTTGGAGCGGGGAAGAGGAGATGGCCTTTGAGACAGGCTTGAATGAATTGGGGAGGGATTTCACAGTGATACAGCAGGATTACGTGCCATCAAAGACGCTAGAAGACGTTATTCTTTACTATTACAATATATGGAAGACAAGGTGGACGGAAGCAGCGCAGCGTTGGTACGCCAAGAAGCGCCATGACGAGATGCTGCAAATCAAACAGCAGGAAGAGGATCAGAAGCTGGCGGATGAACTGAGGCGGGTTGTAGAGGAAAGGTTAGTGCTAACGGCACCTAACAGCAGCCACTCCATGCGGATAGTGGTTCCACTCCTTTCTGTTAGTAGTTCTGGGGTCTTCACTTGGTCTTATACAAGTGCTGAGTATGTGCTTTCTAGCAGGGGCCTTACTTACCTGCTTACTACAATAGAGCTGCATGCACGATCTGGCTATTCCACAAAAGTCCCTGGACTGGCTCTAGCGTGGACTTGAATGTAAAGGGCAGTGAGGGCACTCATCCAAGCAGTCAGGAGTGGTGACCACATTGGAAGCATCTGCATGTTCTTTGTGTGACGTCTGTCGCTGGCTATATGCCTTGTTGCACTGAGAACGAATACCACCTGCCATTTATTCAGGAAGGAAGAGCAGAGGATTCGGCGCAACCAGAAGATCCTTTTTTCGAGGGTGCTGGTGTGGTTCAAGAATGCTGCTAAAGACCCTTTGAACGCCAACAACGGCTATCAAAAGCTGGCAGTCGAGAGGGCCCGAAGGGCAGCAAGCGTAACCAGAAAAGAAGCGCCGAGACAGCAATGGTCTGTGACGCAGGGGTGGCCGGGGGAGGGGGGAGGGAGATTCTTGACTTTGCGATGACATGACTGTGGGAGAATTATATTATTGGCTTGGTAGCGTCCCACGACAACAGGCGTGCGGGTGGCGAACGATATGGAGCGGGAGCACCGAATTGAAAACACATGTTCCACTCCAATTCGTGCGTTGTAAACCTGTTATTTTTGCATTGTTTCTTCGTGCTGCACGCAGGACGCTGATGGTGCCGGTACTTACTGAATTGTGGAGTCCACCGCTTCAGGGAAGCGGTACTTCTAATTGCGTACTGTCGCACATTGAGTGGGAGGATCCCCATGTCATTGTGTGCCTCACAGAGTGCAGCACATGCCGTGATCAGTTGCACATGCCATTGATCCAGGCCCGTATTTTTCACCATCAACAGAGGAGAAGCAAAGTTGGGCTGTAAATTTGCATGGCGTTGCCCTCCACGAAGTATCATGAGTTGGGCGCAACTACAGGATCGGAGCAGTCCCAGGTTTCGCAAACAGTTTTTCAGCTTCAGTCGGCCATGGCCATCTCCGCACGAGCAAGTGCAAAGCGTCCCTCGCTGTCATGAGGCAGTTGCTGCCTAGGCGCTGTAACTCCGCTCAAAGCCACCCATTATCGCTGTGAAACGCCTTTGTCCACGCCTCTCTAAACTAGGAAGCTGTGTGCGTGGCGTGTGGACCTGCCCCTCTGCGACTGGGTGGTGCCGATAATCAAACGGGCCTCTCCCATTTTCCCTCATTCCCCCGACCAGTGCAAAATGAGGACAACATTAAATTTTGGCATGAACATCAATCAATCAATCGATCAAGCCATGTTGCATAACAAGACGTGACCCCCCGACCCAGGAAGGGGACAGCTAGCCCGTTGTTCAGCCCGATGAAATGGCTGTTTCAACTCTTTGGCCCACAACAATTCAAAGCATTGCGGTTGTGGCGCCCAGAATCCTCTGGCTTGCAGTGTCTCAGGAATGGACTGTCCGTGGTGCTGAATCAACGAAGCGCCTTTGCAAGGTGGGAAGATGGGACGCACTACTCGTTAATAGTATTCAGCCATGGCGCACTTGTCAATCTGCCAGTCAATCAAGAAACCTCGCATTTGCCGGCGACCGCGTTCCACCCGCTCCCCCTGCCCTTCGAAGAATACCAGTTTCCACAGATTTAAAAGAACAAAACAAGGAAAAACGGGGCTAACGAATGGCTGGACTCTCTCCAGTACGGGCCTTACTGGAAAGAGTCCAGCTATCCGTTGGTCCCTTGTGTCTGGCCCCGTCGCGCATGTGTGACGACCGGGCCGCTGCCGCGATTGGCTGGCACAGCCCAGCCGTCAAATATCGAATCAACCCTGTCAGCAGCCGGTGCACCTGGCCGCCGTCCGCCTCCCCTCCCCCCCCCACCGGCCGCCGATTCAAAGCCAGCCACTCGCGGACAAACCCTCGCCGCTTCAGATGGAGCTGGAGATCAAGTAGGTTTGGAGTCGACGGCGTTCCTTGGGGTCCCAAGAAGCCGCGAGGCATATGCAACCCGACTGGCGGCACCAACATCGCGGACCAACTGCGGCGCAGGTCGTCCTTCGGGCTTTCCGGCTGCCCCGCGGAGTTCGTGGCGGAGGATGCCGTCGTGCACGCCAGCGGCAACCACCTCTGCTTGAAGAACATCCACAGCGGGGAGCAGGTGCTGAACATCAAAACCGGCGACTTCCCAGGACTCCGTTTTCGAGAAGTGGCGCCTTGTTCTATCCACTGGGTTCGAAGGGTGGTTGACCGCGTGGGTATGGGGAGGTGCTCTCCACTGCTTCCATTTCGTTCCGTGCACAGCGAGGAGACGAAAGTCCTTTGCCGTGATTGGCTGGGAAGCCCTGAGGCGACGTAAACTGACATTACGCCGTGCGTTGTGGTGCTGCAGCTGCTCCTTCCGTGCGCAGGATATGGCGTCAGCTGCCTGGCAGCCAACCGGTGGAAGGGAGTCGTGGCCTATGCGGAAAAGGTAGTGGCATTGTCGATCCTTTGAGGCTCGCTGATGGTGGTTGCGACCTACCTTCAGCATGTGTCGACTCTGCAAGTCATGACAGAAGGGCGATCAGCAGTGGGGTGCACTGCCGGCTGGTCGAGCGCCCTTGGCGCTGGCAGCATGGCTGATTGTGTCTTCCAAAACGCCTGTGTGCTCAGGTCGACGCAGACTCACTTTCAGACGCTCACAGGACAAAGGCTTGTTAAGCATGCTGTCAATACATGCAGATGACAGTCGCATCCGCTGACATTTTAGGCTTCGGTGTCTGCAAAGATCATCCAGTGCTGAAATGGCGGGACTGGCCCGCTGTAAGGGACGGCATACGCACTTTGGACATTTAAGCACATCGAAACATGGGAAAAAAACGAGGAACATGCATTGCATGCTCCGTGAGCTGTGGCGCAGCGCCATGGCCATTTGACACTGCGGCACATGCAAGCATCCCACGCAGTTCACGAAAGGCCACGTCATGGAGACCACCTGGCGTTTGATGCAGGGCCTCCGCCCCCACGTTTTTGTCCATCGCGTGGGCGACCTGCGGCAGCTGGCGGCACTTAAAGAGGGAGCGGATTTGTGCTACACGGCAATGGCGTTCTCAAGGGATGGGGCAATGCTGGCGACGTGCTCAGGGGAGCCAGACCTCAGAGTCAGCATCTGGGACTGGGAGCAGGTGCGCCGATCGGGATGGGACGCCCGATCTCAACTACCGCAGTATTTCAACCATTACAATGTTTCAACCACTACAGTATTTCAAATACTACCGTATATATGATGCGAATTCGAGAATGTACAATTTGGGTTACCTTTCCACTGAAGGTCCGCAGTGCTGACTTTGCGCCTATTGAGACAACATGGCCCCCTTTCGCTTCAGCGAATTCATTATTCAGCAGAAGCGCTGAAAACGGAGGCTGCAATATAGCTCTACGACGATAGTTTCACCAGGACAGAAAGGGCCAAATAACACGTGTTCAAACGTGGACAAAGCTTACGGGTTTGGGTTATTTCCGTGTTCTTAGCATGCAAAAAACTGATGAAATGCGTATATATGTGTTCGCAAAATGTGTTATGAGGTCCTTTTTTGCAAGTATTTAAGCTCAGAAATGTCCCTCGTTACTGGAAGATAATTGCGTTTGATGTTGCGTTGGATTTCGTTGCAGATGGTTGTCATTGCCTCCGGGCAGCTTCCGGCACCTTCTGTGCAGGTCTCTTTCCACCCGTCCAATCCAAATTTGGTGTGCACCACCGGTTCCGGGACCATGGCTGTGTGGAAACTGGAAAGGCTGTGGGACCGCCACGATCTCACTGGCCACGAGCCTGACCTACAAGGTCGCACTCCGACCTGCCATTGCTGGAGTCCGCAGGTTTGAGCGCGCCAAACGGCCAACGCTCTTTTAAGATGTTCTTAGAAGTCCTTTTGTCGGCAGTACGTCTATATGATGCACCAAGAATTACGCTAAATTAATTTTTACATTGGTGTATCCTCTTACGAAGTGTGCATTGAGTCCTGCCAGAGCAACAGCAACAGAATCTGCATGGCGGTATGAGCTAGAATGATGCTTTTTATTACGAAAGATGTTCGGATCGGAGAACCACTTGTCGTCACCCTTGCATAATTAAAGGAGTGTCCAAAAACGAGCAGACTGTCGGTATGGACTGTACGCAGCCGAGCTTTGCGGGAGGCTGAAACATGACAAGAGTTTGATGTCTTTTTTCAAGCCAGGGGCTTCTCTGCGGATGCGAAGGAGCTTTGCTTGTCTCCATTGGCCTCGAAAGTTGTACGCTTGACGGGAAGTCGCCTGAACACGGTCCTTTGGTGGCCGAAGTGCGTATGGAGAAACCAGCATCCAGAGTGGAAGGCATCTGCGCGAACAGGAAATATGTGGTGGCGGCCACAGATCAGGGCCATTTGGAGTGTTACACCAGCGATATCCAATGCCAAGGATCGCCTCCGAAATGGATAATGGACATCGGAGAGGCGGGAGTGTCCAACATTGCGTTTGGGGGGGCATCATGGGATACTGTGCTGGTTGTCAATCGGGCGACTGTGCGTCTGCTTCAGATGGTGTGTAAGACCACTGCCTTCAGTGCTTCGGGGTTTCACTCTTCGTCCTCCCTGACAAGATGCGCACTTCATCCAAGTCATAGTAAATAGTGGCAAGACCGGACTTGGTTCACCATTGGATGAGAAAGAAATACATCGAACTATTCAGTGAAAGCTCAATAACATTGTTTAATTGCCATAGCATATTAACCGCAACAGGTTCAAGCACCGATTTGTCCAGATGCACCGCTTCCCCCTTCAACATGACGTGATTGCGAAATTCCCACAACGCGCACACATACATCCGATCACTGCTGATAGCGACACCAATAACGCAATTAATGCATCGCGATTGATTCTCACCTGCAAAAAGGTTCGGCTCCAAAGTCATGATCCTCACCAAGTTTGAACACAGTGGAAAATTGGATCGAACGCCAATGTTCTTCCCGTTGATCGCATGCCCCTCTCCGCGCAATGCACTGAAGTACAATCTCCCCCCGCACTCCTGTGGTGTTAGGCCCCCCACGGCACCCATCCTCCTGAAGCCCACATTCTGTGTGACTCTCACGTGGGTGCCGTCACAGGCTGCGTCGCAATGCCTGGGGAGGGCGCGGTTGCGACGGCAGGGGAGGATGGCTGTCTGCGCATCTGGGATTTATGGGCTGGCGCCGCCGTCTGCAGCAGGTCGTTCCCCTGCAGTTTCAAATGCGCTGCTTCATGTGATCCGGATGGCCTCATCGCCCTGGGGTCAGAAACCGGAGTCGTGAGGTTAGTACTGCGACCTGCCGCCCATTAGCTTTCGTGTGACTGCGGCGGGTATGTTTTTGGTTTGTGTGTGTTGCCGCGTTGTCTTGCGCCGCGCGTTGGTGACCGAATCTCATTTTCTGATGGCTTGTTTTTGATTCAAATTTGGAACAATGCATTGTTTAAACGCATTAAGCTGGCATCATTGTATCATACGCTGTGAATGGAAATGCAAACTGAGGCAT